CCTTCCCCACCATGCCATGGGGCCTCCCGACGAGACTGGTGGACCGCCAATGTTATATTGGCTGTTCTCCACCAGTGATTTATATAATTGGAAAACCCAGAATGCAAAATTCTCTGATAATCCGAAAGATCTAATTGGGCTTTTAGATAGTGTTCTCTTTACCCACCAGCCTACTTGGGAAGACTGCCAACAGCTCTTGCAGGTTCTCTTCACCACCGAAAAGAGAGAACGAATTAAAGTGGAAGCTCGGAAGTCTGTCCTGGGAGAGGACAGGCAGCCGACTCAAAACCCGGACCTCATGAATGCTGCCTTCCCCTTATCCCACCCTACCTGGGACTACAACTCTGCTGAAGGTAAGGAGAGACTCCAGGTCTACTGCCAGACTCTAATGGCAGGTCTCAAGGCTGCCATGCACGCACAAGCCTACCAATCTGGCCAAGGTATATGATGTAAGACAGGGTAAAGATGAGAGTCCAGCAGCCTTCTTAGAGGGAATCATAGAGGCTTTTAGGCAGTACACCCCTATGAACCCAGAAGTCCCAGAAACAAAGGCCGCAATTATCATGCCTTTTGTTAACCAGGTCACTCCAGACATCAAAAGAAAATTGCTAAGAGTAGAGAGACTAGGAGAGAAGAGCTTGCAGGACTTAATAATAGTAGCAGAAAAACTTTATAATAATAGAGAAAGTCCGGAAGAGCAACAAGCTAAACTAAGCAACCGGCAGACCCAAAACCTGGCCAAGATCCTGCTGGCCACAACCATGGATGACCCACAGGAAAAACGGAGGCACTTCAAGAAGCTGGCTTTAGGGACTCTGTAATTGTCTGTAATTGTTAAGAAACTTTCAACGTCCTTGGTAACCTGAAACCTTAGCTACACTTTGATGATAAATGGGATTAAATTCATTGGACATTTAGGTCTTTTGCAAACAGGAAAAAATGCTGAAACATGGACTTGAATCTGTTGGTGAACATGTTTTGTACGTAACTGTTTCATAAATTTGCCGTCTAAAGAGTTCTGGTGTGACAGTTCAAAATCGGTTACTCCTTAGTTTTCACTGGAGACTAAGGTTTCTAAGAATGAAAAACTCTGCTAAAATAAGACTGATGACTGATAAAGAAAGCAACTCTGTATGTAGGAAAAGAGATGTGTAAGAAATATATAAGGAATGGGAATATATTTTTGTTCAGGGTAAAAGAAAGTAATTTTGTCCTAAATGAGACTGACTGAAAGAAATGGCTTGGGACAAATTCTGAATGCAAAAGAAGGTGTAGAAGGTTTGTGAAGGGAAATCCTTGGAAAGGAATTTTAGGTGTGGTCAAGACAGACTGTCAGATATGCAGGGGCAGCCATAACCACGGAAACAGAGACCAGCTGGGCAGAGCTGTTGGCAGCCGGAACATCGGCTCAATGGGCAGAACAGATCGCAGTGGCCAAGGCACTGACCATGTGAGAAGGTAAACGAATAAGCATTTACAACGACAGCAGGTACGCCTTCGCCACCGCTCACATCCATGGAGCCCTTTACAGAGAGAGAGGGCTTCTGACAGCAGAGGGAAAAACTATTAAAAACAAGACAGAGGTCCTTGAACTCCTGAGGACCCTCTGGCTTCCCAAGGCACTAGCTATCATCCATTGTCCGGGACGCAGAAAGGCAGATACACCAGTAGCCAGGGGAAACTGGCTAGCCAGTTCAAAAGCAAAGGAGGTGGCCCTTTTGGTGACCCAGGTCTTAACAACCACACAACCCGATCTGGGGGCACTGACCCTGCTGAACACCCCCAACTATACTGATGCTGACTTACACTGGATCAAACGCTTGCCTATGACCCAATGTTTGTGTGGCTGGTGGAGGGCCGCAGACTCCAGCATCATCCTGCCAGAGGAACTAGTACGACAAGTCCTATCCAAAATGCATCGGAGAACTCATATGGGAATAAGAAAGATGGAAGACTTCATATGACATGCAAAGATCACTATTAAAGACTCTTGAGCAAAGATTGAGCAGATTGTGGCAAGCTGCCATGCATGCCAATTAACTAATGCCACCTCCCATGGATCCAACCCTGGCACCCAGCTCCGGGGGGACCACCCAGGAGCCTACTGGGAAGTGTACTTCATTGAGGTAAAACCTGGAAAATATGGATACTGGTATTTACTAGTGTTTGTAGATACTTTTTCAGGATGAACAGAGGCATTTCCCACCAGACATGAAACAGCACAGACCATGACCAAGAAACTGCTGGAAGACATCTTACTGAGGTATGGTTTTCCTGTTAAGTTTGGATCAGACAACAGACCAGGATTCGTCTCTAAGGTAACACGGGGAGTGGCACTAGGACTTGGGGCAGATTGGAAATTACATTGTGCATATACGCTCCAAATCTCAGGACAGGTAGAGAGGATGAACAGAACATTAAAGGAGACCTTAACTAAATTAGCCCTGGAGACTGACAGGGACTGGGTGACTCTCCTCCCCTTTGCCCTATATAGGGTACAAAACTCCCCATATGAGATGGGACTTACCCCTTCGAGATCATGGTCCTCCACCTATTATCCCCAATTTTAAACATGAGGTGCTTGCTGAGTTTTATGATCAACAACTTTGTTTCTCCCTCCAAATGTTACAAAGAGCCCATGAGCAGGTATGGCCTAAGCTGAAGGTCCTCTACGAGACTGGGCCACCCCCTGACCCCCATCGATATCGACCAGGCGATTGGGTGTATGTGTGGAGACATCAACAGCAGACACTCCAACCTGGCTGGAAAGGACCCCACATCATGATCCTGACCACTCCCATGGCTCTCATAGTCAACGGAATAACTCCATGGGTCCACTACACCCATGTCTGGCCGGCTGACCCCCACACCATTCTCAAGGACTTTGTTCCAGTATGGAAGAGTCAGCCCAACAAGGACAATCCCCTAAAGCTAAGGCTGTGCCATTCTCACTTACCCCACTAATGTTGCTTCATCTTGTAGCCCCCTGCTTCACTTCACACACACACACACACACACACACACACACACACACACACACACTGACAGGGCTAGTCCAAGAATCTATGGCAAAGGTCAGGGAAAGTTTGGCTAAGTGAAAACGAGAACCAGAACAGCAACAAGGTTGGTTCGAATCCTGGTTCAGTCGTTCCCCCTGGCTCACTACCTTGTTTTCCACCCTAGCCAGGTCCCTGATAATCTTCCTCCTTCTCCTCACCTTCGGGCCCTGCATTATCAATAGATTACTTTTGTGAAAGACAGAATCAGTACAGTCCAGCTTATGGTACTTAGACAACAATACCAACCACTAGACCTTGTTACTAGACTAACCTGGACCCATGATTGGGTCCTTCTTTAGGTTCCGCTGAGAGGGGGAAATGTGGAGGCTGAGAAAATTAGGGCCATTCAAGTTTAACACTGGCACAAGTATAGCCATTGTAGCTTCGGCAGTCATCTCAGGCCACTGTGACCAGGCCACTGTGACCAGGTACTGAATTCTACCTTACCCCGGCTACAGGCAAAATCACAAAGCACAGCCTTATCAGAATAAGGAAGCAAGAGCTTGTGAGACCTCTTTACTGGAGATTCTCACACCCCCACCCTTACTGAAAAACCCCACCTTACCCCTAGACCAGCCTATAAAAACTCAGCTGTAAGCCACCTCGGGGTCCAAGTCCCTGCTCTGCTGTGTCAGGTATACTTGGACCCAAGCTCGAGCTTTTTAATAAACCCTCATGTACTTGCACTGGTGTCGGCTCCTTGGTAGTTTTCTCAGATTCTCAATCTTGGGCACAACATATGTATGCTCCTTTACTATGTCAGTCTGCTGCTCTTCCTGAAATGGAAAGAATATGCTGTTCTGTTTCACTGATGCAGGGCTTCGTTATGTGACTTGCTTTGATCAATGAAATATTAGTGGACATGCCAAGAGAAGAGGTTTGTGAATTTTGGTTTGTGCCCTATGGATTTTGTCAACCCTGTGAGAATATATGTAAGGTTGCTGCAGATCCTACCATGAAAACAGAAAAGAGGAGCAGATGTAAACGTAGCCCACAGCTTAGACTCAAGCTCAGCTAGTCCAAATTAAGTTATCTTAGACAATTATGAGTGTTGTTCTATAGATATGTATGTAGAATGTCAGTATCAAACACATTATTTAAACATAAAAATATTTTAAAAAATTTTACTTCCCTCTTACAAACACCCAAATCAATTTCTCCCAATAAAACCAACATGAGCTATAATCTTTTTCCACTCCTTATGGAATACTTAAAGAGCAAATATTACTTATCTCAAAGACAAAACTTCTCAGAAACAGACACATATTACAGAGAACAAACTGGTAGTTGCCAGAGGGGAGATAGTAATGGGTAAAATGGATAAAGGAGGGGGGGTACAGTCTTCCAGTTATGGAATGAATAAGTCATGGGAATGCAGGATAGGCACAGCATAGGAAATGTACTCAGTTGTATTGTAACAGTGTATGGTGAAAGATGGTAGCTATGCTTGTGGTGAGCAACAAAAAATACTTCAATAAAAAAGAAGTATATGGAGACTCCCGGGTGGCTCAGCAGTTCAACAGCTGCCTTCAGCCCAGGGAGTGATCTTGGAGCCCCGGGATCAAGTCTCGCATTGGGCTCCCTGCATGAAGCCTGCTTCGCCCTCTGCCTATGTCTCTGCCTCTCTCTCTCTGTGTCTCTCATGAACAAATAAATAAAATATTTTAAAAGTATATGATTTAAAAAAAGATAAAGCTTCTATTTGTCCAAAATGCTCAAACCAGAATTTTTTCTAAAATAAAAGAGGATTTAATACAATAATATTGAAATCTAGCATTTACTATTTAAGATGATGAAATATTGGTCCTCCAAATAAGTAAAGAGATGGAAGGATGTGGTGTTGAGCAGATGGGTCCCATGCCCATTGTTACCCCTGGACAACAGCTCAACCCTGAGGTTGACTGTGACCAGTTCTTCCAGTTTGTGAGTTCCGTTGGCCAGCTAAGATCGGGGCTCCAGCTGGCAGGACAGGATGTAGCTCTCCTCTTCACTGAGCCACTTCCCAGACTGGAACCAGGCCTTAAATGGATGCTTAGGCTCTATGTTGTAATGATCTGCAGCCACCTGGAGCAGCATGATCTCAGTCATGACTCTGTATTCCTTATTCTTCTTCTGGTGGTTGATCTCATTCTCCTCCAGGTACTCCTCCATTGCAGTATCCAGCATGAGCAGGTCAGTGAGGAAGGTGCCAAGGAATGGGACGGCACCTTTCTTCTGCCACCCCCTCTTCCATGCTCTCTGGACATTTATCCCCAGGGTTCCAACTTTAGATGGCCGTTCCTGGATAAGCAGTTTTCTGCTCTGCGGATTGTCTTTGGTGCACATTGTTTTAAATGTTCGAAGTTTCTTCCTGGAAACCTTGGCCCATGTGTTCTTCAGGCGGTGAACTGAGGCACTCTGCAGAGCAGAGAGGATGGCATGCATGGAGGAGTAGTTCCACAAGATTTGACAGGGCTTGGCCACCTTAATCCAGTGCTCCGCCACCATGGCCCTGTCCCGGGCTGTCATGCGTGGGTTGCCAAGGCAGGTGGTGATGACACAGTTGGTCACATCGTTGAACTGGGTGATGGTGGCACGGACTGTGCATGCTAGGTGCTCATTGCTGGGTTCATTCCGCTTGGACCAGATGGAGCCCAGGCACTGTTGGGGCACCACCTTCTTGAACAGATCTGCATCTATGGATGTCAATTGCTCTGCCACCAGCTTGGGAGGGAAGTCCATGAGACCCGGCTTCTCTTCATGCAGCTGGTGCTTGGGGGGCTACGCACCAGTGGCAGGTAGCCTCTGGGGCTGAAGGGTGGCTCTGTCTCTATGTTTAGGGATGGAGTTACAATTCTCAGGAAAGCTGGTGGTCGAACTGACTGCAGTTCATGCAGAAGAAGACATGAGCTCTTGTTCCAGATCTGGAACTGCAGATGGAGGAGATACTGGCTCTGACGCTGGTGGTGATGGTTGAAACAGAGCTAGGGGTGTTGCTAGCTCCATCGGAGGCCCTTTCTCTAGCTCTACAGCTGGAAGGAGCCATGGAGCTGTCGCCTCCGACTCTGGGAAGCATCAGAAGCCCAGGGGACCAAAGCATGGGCATTTCTGTGACTACCAAGAGCAGCCCAAAAGCTAAGTTCAGTTTCGTTGCTGCTTCGGTCCTGGACAAGTGACGAGCCACAACCACAAATATTTATACTATCTTTAGGTTCAGTTACATCAAAATACTTGCAAATTGTGAAAAAACTAGCCCCGTCTTTTTGCAGTAATTTTAAATATCTTACTAAATATTCGAGGAAACAGGTTTCTGATGAAATCGAAAAGTCAAGAAGAACTGAAGAATCAAATCCTATATTTTTCAATAAGAATAAGAAAATACAAAAAAAAAGAATAAGAAAATACAGTGTGGATTATAGCCATATTCATGTGTGTGATGGTTCCACATTTCTTTTTCTTGGGTCAAGCCTTCAGTAGCTTTACACTGTCTGGCCAACTTTAGGTAGATGCCCAGTGATGCTTGGTGGCCTCCAGCATGTCATCATCTTGTTCTATGAAGACCCTGGAGATCCACTCACATGGATTGTGCAACTGAAGAGAGGGCTGAAGATGAGGCTTTAAGAATGTCAATAACTCAGACATGAAACTCTGTAAATCAACTTTTATTTCATTTGCTGAAGTACAACTTTGAAACTTGATTTCTAAGGATTTAATGATAAGTAGGCTTGCTGCTCTGAGAATCACGTGATCTGGACCATGGACACACTCACATGCAGGTTGAACTTCATCTCCACCAGAGCAGGGAGGTTTTCCATGGACAGACAACGTCTTCAGTAAGCCCAAATCCACAGCTTGCAAAACAGCATCTGCTAAAGCCAACATGTCTACATCTAAATGCTGGTCTGGTGGCATCAGGGCAGGGCCAGATCCCTGACAAAGGTCTTCACCCACTTTCCAGAGAAGGCACTTTTTTTTTTTTTTTATAAATTAATTTTTATTGGTGTTCAATTTACCAACATACAGAATAACACCCAGTGCTCATCCCGTCAAGTGTACCCCCCAGTGCCCGTCACCCATTCACCCCCACCCCCCACCCTCCTCCCCCTCCACCACCCCTAGTTCATTTCCCAGAGTTAGAAGTCTTTATGTTCTGTCTCCCTTTCTGATATTTCTCACACATTTCTTCTCCCTTCCCTTATATTCCCTTTCGCTATTATTCATATTCCCCAAATGAATGAGAACATACACCGTTTGTCCTTCTCCGGTTACTGTGGCCAAGTTCAAAAAGGGTGTTGCCTGAGTTCTCCTCTGGGATTTTGATGGAATCTTGTCTCACATTTAGATCTTTCATCTATTTTGAGTTTATCTTTGTGTATGGTGCAAGAGAGTGGTCCAGTTTCATTCTTCTGCATGTGGATGTCCAATTTTCCCAGCACCATTTATTGAAGAGACTGTCTTTCTTCTAGTGGATCGTCTTTCCTCCTTTATCGCATATTAGTTGAGCATAAAGTTCAGGGTCCACTTCTGGGTTCTCTGTTCTGTTCCATTGATCTATATGTCTGTTTTTGTGCCAGTACCACACTGCCTTGATGAACACAGCTTTGTAGTACAACCTGAAATCTGGCATTGCGATGCCCCCAGATATGGTTTTCTTTTTTTTTAAAATTCCCCTGGCTGTTTGGGGTCTTTTCTGATTCCACACAAATCTTAAAATAATTTGTTCTAAGTCTCTGAAGAAAGTCCATGGTATTTTGATAGGGATTGCATTATACGTGTAAATTGCCCTGGGTAACATTGACATTTTCACAATATTAATTCTGCCAATCCATGAGCATGGAATATTTTTCCATCTCTTTGTGTCTTCCTCAATTTCTTTCAGAAGTGTTCTGTAGTTTTTAGGGTATATTTTGAGAACCATTTGAATGGTAAATGGTTCTCCAACCTTTTATTTTCAGGTTGTAGGTGTCCTTCTGTCTAAAATGAGTCTCTTGTAAACAACCCCCGCAGAGCCCTGCAGCAGGCAGGGGCAGAGCAGCTCCCCCAAGTGCTAACACCTGAAAATCAACGCAACAGGCCCCTCCCCCAGAAGACCAGCTAGACGGACCAGTGATACTCCCCCGTGTTCCAATACAACTTGTTTCTGGCCACTCTGCACTGAGCAAAATGACTAGAAGGAAAACCTCAACTCAAAAGAAAGAATCAGAAACAGCCCTCTCTCCCACAGAGTTACAAAATCTGGATTACACTTCAATGTCAGAAAGCCAATTCAGAAGCACTATTCTACAGCTACTGGTGGCTCTAGAAAAAAGCATTAAGGCCTCACGAGACTTCATGACTGCAGAATTTAGATCCAATCAGGCAGAAATTAAAAATCAATTGAATGAGATGCAATCCAAACTAGAAGTCCTAACGACGAGGGTTAACGAGGTGGAAGAACGAGTGAGTGACATAGAAGACAAGTTAATGGCAAAGAGGGAAACTGAGGAAAAAAGAGATAAACAATTGAAGGACCATGAAGACAGATTAAGGCAAATAAACGACAGCCTGAGGAAGAAAAACCTACGTTTAATTGGGGTTCCCGAGGGCGCCGAAAGGGACAGAGGGCCAGAATATGTATTTGAACAAATCCTAGCTGAAAACTTTCCCAATCTGGGAAGGGAAACAGGCATTCAGATCCAGGAAATAGAGAGATCCCCCCCTAAAATCAATAAAAACCGTTCAACACCTCGACATCTAATAGTGAAGCTTGCAAATTCCAAAGATAAAGAGAAGATCCTTAAAGCAGCAAGAGACAAGAAGTCCCTGACTTTCATGGGGAGGAATATTAGGGTAACAGCAGACCTCTCCACAGAGACGTGGCAGGCCAGAAAGGGCTGGCAGGATATATTCAGGGTCCTAAATGAGAAGAACATGCAACCAAGAATACTTTATCCAGCAAGGCTCTCATTCAAAATGGAAGGAGAGATAAAGAGCTTCCAAGACAGGCAGGAACTGAAAGAATATGTGACCTCCAAACCAGCTCTGCAAGAAATTTTAAGGGGGACTCTTAAAACTCCCCTTTAAGAAGAAGTTCAAGTAACTCTGAACGTGAATGGGCTTAATGACCCCATCAAAAGGCGCAGAGTTTCAGACTGAATAAAAAAACAGGACCCATCTATTTGCTGTCTAGAAGGCACTTTTTGATGAATATGATGAACTTCCCCTTGACAAAAACCTCAACAGGCCAGGTAATGACATCTAGCACACAAGAAGGTTTCAAAAATAAAATCTGGCAAGTGAAATGTAGTTTCAGATGGATTCTGGAAGCTCTAAGAAGTTTAAGCAATTCCAGGGAACATATCATGCTGTTTATTATTTTAGAGGTGTCTTGGCAGCTTTTGAAATGCAGAGAAAATAAGGAATTGTACAAAACTTCAAAAATAGTATCAAAAGGAGTCAGGAACTGCTTTAAAATTTCTGTTTCTTGTGCACATGTATCTTTAAAGATTTCTTTTATTATAACAGTAAGGGTCCAGAGGCAATATACCGCCTTCTCATTTTCAGGGTATTCAGAGAAATTCTTTTGGCAAAAAGCAACCCAGGAATTACTCAATGTTGCCTTTTCCCTTAATTGGAAATATAAAAGTAGCCCAAGGCACTTTGCAGCCATGTGACATAACAATTTATCCGAGTTTTGGAACATACACGTTAACTTAGAATCGATGTAAGATGATTTTAGAAGAATTTTAATTACATCTCTGTATTTCTCCTTTGCATGGGAGTCAGTTTCAACAGACAATATTCTGGTTATCATCACTTTGATTACTGTTAACTGACAGAGTGTTATTACTGGGGCACTGCATATTGGTGAGTGTTTCTTCAAACACAGAGGCACTACAGAAATGAAAGCTAAATTGGCAGAGGATGGCTGATGCTTGCCCTGGGCATCATTGTGGTTTGAGCATTCTGAAGAGGTGGTTGTAGAGCAATCTTGATCTAAAGATGCTGGGTTGAGATAATTTTTGGGGGGGTTAATAATTCTTTATTAGGATTCAGTTTCCAATTAAGGTAGAAAGCAGTGGCAAGAGGGGTGCAGGGAAGGGGATGATGAGGGGATACCAGGCGTGGCTAGCTGGACTGCTGCCAGAGGCCTAATGGGAGCCCTGAGCTGGGGGGTGGGGTGGGGTAGGGGCCAGGGCTGGGGCCAGCCTACGGCCTGGACAGGGGTCAGTGGATGGTGTATCGTACATAGGGAACCTCAATGTCCTTGCCGCTCTCGTCGTTGCAGCACAGCTCAAGCACCAGTGCCCGCACATGGCGGCCCAGTTTTCGCTTCCACACATGGCTTACAATCTCTGTCATCAGCTGATCCAACCATTCCTTGAGCTTGGCAGCTGGCACAAAGAAGGAGTAGAGCATGGACACACCCTGGGACAGCATGGTGATCTCCAATTTATGCTCTGTCTTAAAGTAGTCAGGAAACTGTTTGAGCATCATCTCCTCACCATTAGGCTGCAGACCCTGGACCTCTCTTATCCAATTTGTTCAATTGTTTGTTTTTTTTCCTATCCTGTTTCTTTGCATGATGGCAGAGAATAGCTTTACACTTTCAAGGTACAACATTCCAAAGAGAAAGGTGATTAGAGAGCACAAATGCTTATATTTGTGGGTGGTGGCACAAATTTGACATCACGTTTTATAAACTATGATTTCTGTTTTAATTTTATCTCAATTTATTATTGCTACTCTTTAGTCATGAGTTTACTTAAAATAGTATCAATTCAAAATATATCAATGAGAATTTCCCTACAGAGTGTCATGTTAAATATATCAGAAAAAAGTCTTGGCATTTCTACCGGGTGGTATACTATATTCTGATATAATTGACAAACTTGAGTGGTTGGAGTGAAACATCATATAGGATGAGATTTATGATTTTCTCTGGCCTATTCTTTCCAGCAAAACTCTTTAATGTAACAGACTATTTATTTTAATATTAAGAGTATTGCTTAATATCAGATAATACATGGAATTTGTAAGTAGACTATTTTGAAACAGACAAAAAATCTTGATAATCTTTTTGTAACAGCTTTATTTAGGTAGAACTCACAAAACATGTAATTCAACCATTTGAAGTATAAATTTAATGCGGGTTTTTTTTAATGCGGTTTTTTTTTTTTTTTTGGTATATCCACAGAGTTGTGCAACTGTCATCACAATCAAGTTTGGAAGGTTTCCTTCACCTCAAAAAACACAACTACCCAATAATATTCATCCTTTTTTTGGTCAATTTCACATTTTCTTTAACCAGAAATTCTACAACAGTGTGAAATATCATGTACACTTTTAAATAGAAATACAGGGGTACAAGTAGAGCTGGACATTTTTAATTGAATAGAAAATTCGAAAGAAATGGAACTAAGACCACTAATGGAAATATTACAGATAACTCAGCCAATTGGATCTTAAACTTGCTGCTCCTAATCTGGCCGCTACCTGGGTGAAGGAAGCCAATCTCTATGGTACTCTTCAATCCAACAATTTGGAAGTCACTCCAGAATCTTTATATCTAGTTACTTCCAGTTTAGCATCAACTTTTTATTTACTGTTACTTCCTAAATATTTTCCTTCTGAACTATCAGGATTTAGAGCAGATCCTCAACAGATATAATCAAAATTATTACAATAGCTTCCAAACCTATTTCACTTTCTCTACACAATTCTCTTGACTTTATCTTATGTGCTGTTGATGTAGTATTCTTGCCAAATAAACCTAACTTGTCACATCAATCTGTTGCTTAACATATTCATGAGTACTCAAACAGATACAGAATATTTCAGTAGTAATTCTTTATTTCCAACAAAATCACTCAGCCCTAGCCAATCATTAATATACCTCTTGTCTCTCTGGATTTGTCTACACGAGACATTTCATATGAAGGTAATCATACGATATTGTAGTCTTTTGTGTCTGGCTTTTTCATTTAGTACAATGATTTTGAATTTCATCTATGCCTTTTTATTGTTGTATAATATTCAATTGTATGGATATACCATTTCTGATTTATCCACTCATCAGTTGAGGGACATTTTAGTTATTTATACGTTTGGACTACTATGAAAGTGCTGTAAAAATTCATGTACAATTTTTGGTATAGGTATATTTTTATTTTTATTAGATATATACTTAAAAGTGTAATGTTCAGTCATATGGAAACTCTATGCTTAACCTATTGAAAAAATGGCTATACTGCTTTCCAAAATGACTGCACCATTATATAGTCCTATCAGCAAGATATGATAATTATAATTTCTCAATACTCTCATCAGTGCTTGTTATTGTGTGCACTTATTATTTTAGTCACCTCAGTAGGTGTGACATGATATCACATTATGACAGCTAATGATGTTGAACATCTTTTAATATTCACATTAAACATTTATAATCTCTTTTGGAGATATGTCTATTCAGATCTGTTATCCATTCTTACATTGAATATTTGTCTTATTATTGTTGAGTTGCAAGAGTTCTTAATGTATTCAACATTAGTCACTTAAATATATCATTTACCAAAGTTATTTTTTTCCATTATGAGTTGTCTCTTCACTTAACTCATGATGTCCTTTGAATACAAAATATTATAATTTTGATGAAGTATAATTTATCCACTTTATCTTTTGATGCCTCTGTTTTTTCAACAAATATAAGAAATCATTATTATTATCTTACTTCAGAGTACAGATCATTCATATCTTTGGTGAAGTTTATTCCTAGGTACTTAATTGGTTTTGATGAAATTGTAAATGGGATCAATTCATTGATTTCTCTTTCTGCTGTTTCATTATTGGTGTATAGAAATGGAATAGATTTATATACATTAATTTTGTATCCTGAAACTTTTCTGAATTTATGTATCAGTTCTAGCAAATTTTTGGTGGAATCTTTTGGGTTTTTCACATAGAGTTTCATGTCATCTGTGAATATTGAAAGTTTGAATTCTTCCTTGCTAATTTAGATGTCTTTTTTTTCCTTTTGTTGTCTGATGGCTGAGGCTAAGACTTCCAGGACTATATTAAATAACAGTGGTGAGAACAGATATAATTGTCTTGTTCTTGACCATAAAGGAAAAGCTCTCAGTTTTTCCCCATTGAGGATGCTATATCAGCTGTAGATCTTTCATCCATGGCCTTTATAATGTTGAGGTATGCTACATCTATCCCTACACTGTTGAGGGTTTTTTTCTCAAGAATGGATGCTATATATTGACAAAAGCTTTTTCTGCATCTACCAAGAGGATCATATCTGTTTGTTCATTGATTTACAAATATTGAAATGCCTTGCTGACCAGGAATAAGTCCCACTTGATTATGGTGAATAACTCTTTTAATGTGCTGTTGAATTTAATTTGCTAGTATTTTGTAGAACATTTTGTATCTATGTTCATCAGGGATATTGGCCTGTAATTCTCCTTTATAGTGAGGCCTTTGTCTGGTTTTGGAATTAAGGTAATGCTGGTCTGATAAAAGGAATTTGGAAGTTCTTCTACTTCTATTTTCTTGGAAAAGTTTTGGAAGAATAGGTATTAACTCTCCCCTAAATGTTTGGTAGAATTCCCCCAAGAAGTCACCTGGCTTTTATTTGTTGGGAGGTTTTTGATTACTGATTAATTTTCCTTGCTGGTTATGGGTCTGTTCAAATTTTCCATTTCTTCCTGTAGCAGTTTTGGTAATTAATATGTTTCTAAGAATTTATCCATTTCTTTCAGGTTGTCCAATTTGTTTGCATATAATTTTTCCAAATATTCTCTTCTAGTTGTATTTCTGTGGTGTTGGTTGTAATGTACCCTTTCATTTGCGATTTTGTTTATTTGGGTCCTTTCTCTTTTTTGTAAAGTCTGGCTAGTATTGAAGAAAGACTCATCTATTTGCTGTCTACAAAAGACTCATTTTAGACCTAAGGACACTTACAGCCTGAAAATGAAAGACTGGAGAATCATTTACCATTCAAATGGTCCTCAAAAGAAAGCTGGGGTAGCAATAATCATGTCAGAGAACTTAAAGTTTAACCCAAAGACTGTAGTAACAGATGAAGAGGGACACTATATCACTTAAAGGATCTATCCAACAAGAGGACCTAACAATCATGAATATTTATGCCCCTAATGTGGGAGCTGCCAAATATATCAATCAATTAATAACCAAAGTAAAACATACTTAGATGATAATACACTAATAATAGGAGACTTCAAAATGGCATTTTCTGCAAATGACAGATATTCTAAGCAAAACATCTCCAAAGGAACAAGAGCTTTAAATGATACACTGGACAGATGTATTTCACAGATATTTACAGAACTTTACATCTGAATGCAACTGAACACACATTCTTCTCAAGTACACATGGAACTTTCTCCAGAATAAACCACATACTGGGTCACAAATTAGGTCTCAACCCATACCAAAAGGCTGGGGTTTTCCCCTGCATATTTTCAGACCACAATGCTTTGAAACTACAACTCAATCACACAAAGAAATTTGGAAGAAATTCAACACGTGGAGGTAAAAGAGCACCCTGCCAAAAGATGAATGGGTCAATCAGGAAATTAGAGAAGAATTAAAACGATTCATGGAAACTAATGAAAATGAAGAGACAACCGTTCAAAATCTTTGGGATACAGCAAGAGCAGTCCAGAGAGAGAAATACATCACAATACAAGCATCTCTCAAAAAACTGGGAAAAAAAAAACAACAACAACAAATACACGAGCTAACCTCGCACCTAAAGGAACTGGACAAGGAACAGCAAATAAATGCTACACCCAGCAGAAGAATAGAGTTAATAAATATTGGAGCAGAACTCAATGAAATAGAGACCAGAAGAACTATAGAACAGATCAACAAAACCAGGAGTTGGTTCTTTGAAAGAATTAATAAGATAGATAAACCATTAGCAAGCCTTATTAAAAACAAAAGATAAGACTTTAATTAATAAAATCATGAATGAGGGGATCCCTGGGTGGCACAGCGGTTTGGCGCCTACCTTTGGCCCAGGGCGCAAGCCTGGAGACCCGGGATCGAGAATACCACGTCGGGCTCCCAGTGCGTGGAGCCTGCTAAAAAAATAAAATAAAATCACGAATGAAAAAGGAGAGATCACAATCAATACCAAGGAAATGCAAATGATTTTAAAAACATATTATGAACAGCTATACACCAATAAATTAAGCAATCTAGAAGAAATGGATGCATTTCTGGAAAATCACAAACTACCAAAACTGGAACAGGAAGAAATAGAAAATCTGAACAGGCCAATAACCAGGAAGGAAATTGAAGCAGTCATCAAAAACCTACCGAGACACAAAAGTCCTGGGCCACATGGCTTCCCAGGGGAAATATATCAAACCTTTAAAGAAGAAACAATACCTATTCTACTAAAGGTGTTCCAAAAGATAGAATGAAACAGAATACTTCCAAACTCATTTTATGAGGCCAGCATCCCCTTATTTCCAAAACCAGACAAAGACCCCAC